CTTATCCTTTTGAATAATAGCCTGCATTATCTCTCGTATAATAAATAATAATATACTATCATCAACATTTTAGTTTTCATTACTTGTTTTATGAAATATCTGCCCAATACCAACTTATTTCAATGTAAGTATAAAAATCCAATAAAATATGGAAACGGCATAAATTTATAATTATTATAATAATTTAACTTGGTATTCCCAAAGGCCCTAAGTGTCAAAAATAAAATTGTGAGAAATCAATGAAAATCCATCCATCTTTAAAATACAAAAATAATATGGAGAACATTTTTTTAGTCGTTTTGCATGGCACATAGACTATTTTTAAATTATAATATAATATTTGACCAAATTTGGTCCAAACCCTATAATTGAAGAGCATTCGTGCAAAACCGGTTAAATCCATTTTATTCAGTTTTTGTTTTTTTTTTTGATTTCGCATCTTTGGGTTCATTTCTATCGACAACCAAGATAATTCTGTTTAAATCCGACTATATCCATGTTAAAATCACATTTAAAAGGTAGCTTTAGGAGCTAAACCGGCCAAATCCACGTTTTTATAGCAAACCCGGCTATATCCAATAAATAATAATGATGATGATAATGTGGCTTGGATATGTCGATACTACTAATAAAATTTGTTCTGTTTTTTCATGTTTGCACTAAATTTATTTTGTTAATATATTTGAATAATTAAGGTTTTTTTTCACATTTTATTCGTTTTTTTATTCGGTTTTTGAGCAAAACCGGCTATATACAAAGCATTTTTTGAAATTTTGGCCTTAATATAAAGTTTTTGAAAACGAAAGTATGTCTTATAAATCAAGTACCACAAAGCCCAGAAAACTCAAGTTTGCTTTTTCTTTTATCTGTAAAGGCCAGGAAACCGATAGTTTTTGCCATTTTCCCAACATTTTATTAAAGTGGATATAGCCGGTTTTGCACGGATTCTCCTCAATTATTAATGTAATTATTTACCATTTCTTTTTAAATAAAAAGGCAACTTTCTTTGCTCATGGTTTTAGATAATATTTTCCTAAAAAAAGGTCCTACTAAATTTTACCATAAATTTTGTTTCGATAAAAAAGTTTGAAAATCTTGAAAATTTCTATAAATTCAACTTTTACCTTGAATACCTTTTAAAAGAGCCCTACCAAAATTTGTTTCAGTTTTACTAATCCGAGTTAAACTATTTTAAAGTATTTTAAAAAAATCTCATATTATTTTAATGGGAAATAAAAATTCCCGATGAAGGACCCGTAAATGTAATATTAAGAGCTTACATTTTAACAGGACCATTTTTTTGAGATTCTGAACAATATTTTTGAGGTGCTTTAAAAATAAATATTCGATTTTTTTGTATAAGTCTAATAATTATACAAGGTGTCCCTAAACTTAGTGGCATAAATTTAGGAGCAGATTAAGCAAGTCAAAATAAGACGAAAATCTAAATAAATATTTTTCCTAATTACGTATGTTTAAAAGATACAGGGTGATAAAGTGTTACTTATCATATCAGTTTTTTAATATAACTTCTACTATGGTAGACTTGGAAAGGTGATATTTTTGCGAACAGTCACTTACTACCAAAACACATATTCACATATGATTACAATTGTTTGAGTGAACACAGTGTCGTAGAAACGGGGGTTGCTTTAAGCTTATTGTCCCATACAAACTTTGAGGTTAGATTTTTGTAACATTTTATGCAATTTTTCGATTAAACAGTTCGGCTACCATTAAAAAGGTGTACCTCTCAAACTTCGATAAAATAAACCGTTTCCGAGATATTCGAGATTACAATAATTGTTATATCGCATTATTTAAAACGATTAAAAGGTATATGATAACTAATTTTATTTTTTAATTGAATAAACTAAAAAGGGCATTCCATGAGCCTCGGGACTTTTTGCCCTAACCTTCACATTAAAAAAATGTAGTTTTTTCAATTAAAAAATTTGTTAACATATACCTTTTAGTTCTTTAATGCGATATAACAATTATTGTAATATCAAATATCTAGGAAACGGTTAATTTTATCGCAGTTTGAGAGGTACACCTTTTTAATAGTAGCCGAACTGAGTAATCGATAAATTGCATCAAATGGTATAAAAACCTAACCTCAAAGTTTGTATGGGACAATAAGCTTAAGCAACCCCTGTTTCTACGACACTGTGTTCACTCGAACAATTGTAATTATGTGTGAATATGTGTTTTGCTGGTAAGTGACTGTTCGCAAAATATCACCTTTCCAAGTCTACCGCAGTAAAAGTTATATTAAAAAAACTGATACTTAAGTAACACTTTATCACCCTGTATCTTTTAAACATACGTAATTAGGAAAAATATTTATTTAGATTTTCGTCTTATTTTGACTTGCTTAATCTGCCCCTAAATTTATGCCACTAAGTTTAGGGATACCTTGTATAATATTTTTTATCAAATATTTAAAAAAATTTCCTACATTTAAAATATTAATATGAAAATTTAAAATATTAATATGAAAAAATAAGAATAAATGTTTATAAAACTATACAAAAATATATCAAAAAATTAACGATTTAATAAAAATACAGTTATAACTATTTATAAATATGTAAAATACCCAAAATAATTAATTCAATACGAGCAGGTAGTAAATCCCTAAGAGGCAGATGTTGACCATTTCCGAATGCCTCCGAACAATTACAATGGAGCATTCAAATGGACATTACTTCTTTCCGTAACTGTACAGGGTTCTTCCGTATATGTGGACAGCGCCTACTAAGTTCTATTATAAGAGATAGGAAAAAACTTAAATACAAAAATTGTAGGGTTTGTCCAAAATTGACAAAAATTTTACGTAAAATAATAAATAAATATCGCAAAGTTGCTAAAAAACACAAATTTGGTAAATCTTCAATGAAAACCCTGTATATTATAACAAAAAGGACTTTTTTCTCTGAATTCAAAGATATGTAACATTTTGACATTTGGTTTAGCTGTTTTAAAATTATTTGCATTTAAAAAACGTATATTACCTTACCAAAATTTCAAAATTACAAAATTACCAAAATTTAATGTCAACCTATTGTACATATATTTATACTCTACCCGTCAAAATTAACGAATAATAAGTAAAACTTTAAAAGGCCTTTACCAATCTTTATGAAATTTTGTATAAAAATACTTCAACTTATATCTCAGTTTACGTGTTCGAGGGTTTTTCGAGAAAATATTTTTAAAGATCTTTTATTTAATAATTAAAAAAACGTTCGAAAAATAACTTTAAGGGATTTTTTTTTAAGTAAATAAAAAAAAATATGCTGTTAAAGACCGTATTTTCGTTAGTATACTGTACAATTTAAATCAAACGAACAGTAACGAAGATACAGCGCTTCAAAGTCGGAAAGCGCTGTATTTTCGTTACTGTTCGTTTGATTTGTTCAAAATTTTCATGGTTTACTAACAAAAATACGGTCTTTCACAGCATATTTTTTATTTATTTAAAAATAAATTTCCCTATAAAAGTTTTTTTTCCAGCATTTTTTATTATTAAATAAAAGGGCTTTAATGATATTTTATTTCATACTGTACTTTAATGTGCCATTTCCCGGACTCATTTGAGTCCGGAAAATGATACATTACATCACTAGGCCGGTAAAGTAACTTTACCGGACTGGTATATTTTAACAACACATTATAAGTTTTGCGCCATTCACAGAATATCTCGTATTCCTTTTGATATCGTCCGGAAGACTTGACCGGGATAAGTTTCGCCGTCGCTTCAGAGCTTTTTTTCAAAATCTCTGCATCCATTTTATTTGAAATTATTCAAAACGATGCTGAATTGACAAACAAGACAATCAATAAAAAAACTCTTTGTTACTGTTAGCAACCGATTCAAAGCATACTACATTATCACCCTATGTTACTGGTGCTACATTTTATAGTTTGTTTAGACAATACTGATACCATCATGTACTGACACATTACTGACACCTTCACCTGAATATACAGTTCAATTACCAAAAATTTGATAAAAATATTGAACAGTATGAAATAAAACATTGTACGATACACGGCCGTGAAATGTCATTAAAGTACTTGTCTAGAAATTCCAGACTCGGCTCCTTCGTCGCCTCGTCCGAAAACATCTAGACTCGTACTTTAATAAGCCATTTCCCGGCCTTGTAACGTAAATTACTATTCTCGAAAAACCCTTGAACACGTAAACTGAGATATAAGTATTTTTATACAAAATTTTGACGCGCAGTGTATATTTTTTTATTCAGGAAAAAAAGATGTATTAAGTTTTAAAATAATATACAGGGTATTCTATTAAAGATTTGACAAGTTGGTATGTTTTACTTACTTTGCGATATTTATTTGTTATTTTACGTTACTTTTTGTGGCGATTTAGGACAGACCCTAAAACTTTTGTATTTAAAGTTTTCCTATCTCTTATAATATACTTATTAGGCGCTGTCTAAATATAAGTTGATTACATATGACGGAGAAAGAGGTACCTATTAAAGAAATTCTAAATATTGAAAAAGTAATTTTTATGATTAAAATTAATATCATTAACTTTTTTTCAATGGGACAATCGCTATATTTTTTTATTAACGCTATGACTACTGTCCCGATGCAGGACGATAAAACTAAAACTAACCAACAAACCCAATCCAACATCCAACATCCTTTTAACATAGGAATATTTATTATTATATTATATTACCGTAACAAAATAAAGATGAGGAAGGGTAAATAATCTAGAAAGTTATCCGAAAAAATACATTTTTTTAGTTTTTAGCGAATATCTCGCCCTGTGTATATTGCACAATGAAAAGTAAAATAGCAAATTTATTTTTAATAAAATTTACAACAATTTTCCTTTGATGTATACTGTATATAAATAAAAATGTATAGTTAGTTAAAATAAAAAAAAAAAAAAATCGGGGCAGGAAGACGAAAGTCGTTAGCCTTTTGGATTTCCAATAAAGTTTATTATTATTATTATTAAAAAAAATCTTTTTTTTACGACCACTATGTAATTTGATCATTACAGTAAAAGTCTTAATAACTGAAAGTTAGTCATTACGCACACGTGCGTAATGGTAATAAAAAAACACACTTTTAGGGTTTTTCTGTCTATTTTGATTTTTTCTGGGGATTTTTGTTTATATTATTAAGGTTATGTTGGTAAAGCTGCTGTGAACTGTCAATATTTGACGACTGTCAGTGTACGGCGATGAAACTTGAACACAAAAATTTTGTAATAAACTACATAGAATTATCAAAAAAATTGAGATTTTCACGATTAAAGTAATTTTGAAATAAAACCGTAATTATTTTAAAATAATATTCTATTTACAGCAGATATGTCGAGTGATTGTTTATGTACACCACCTGAGATTGTTGATAGCGCAAAAGCTGCCACCAAAAATTTACTACCTGTTAAATCTCGCGAACGATACGAGATTAATTATGACAAATTTATGAAATGGAGAACCAGCAATAAAATCCAGTCATTTTCAGAAAATGTTTTACTTGCTTATTTTGAACAACTTTCAATCACAATGAAACCATCAACATTATGGGCTACATATTCTATGTTAAAATCAACAATAAGCATTAATCATGACATAAATATTGCTTCTTACTCAAAATTACAAGCATTACTTAAAAGAAAGTCCGATGGTTTCAAGAGCAAAAAGTCAAAAGTTCTTAATTCACAACAAATTAATACTTTCTTGAAGAATGCACCAGATCGAAAATATTTGCTTATGAAGGTACGAGCTAATAAATATCTTTAAATATAAATTAAGCATTCTATTTTAGGTAATTTTAATTTTTGGTATTTGTGGTGCATGTAGGAGACAAGAAATAAGAAACATAAAGACAGAAGATGTAGAAAATACTGGAAAATCTTTTATTGTTAAGATTGTTGAATCTAAAACAAAAACAAGTCGCTCGTTTGTTATATCAGACGAATTTTATCCAATTTGTAAAAAGTACCTTAGTTTAAGACCTTCAGGTGGAGATACTAATAAGTTGCCCTTCTTTTTAAATTACATAAACGAAAAATGTACCAAGCAACCCGTTGGTATAAATAAAATTGGAAGTGTACCAAAAAATATTGCCGAATTTCTGGGGCTACCAAATAAAGAACTTTATACGGGACACTGCTTAAGACGATCGTCTGCAACCATCCTTGTAGATGCTGGTGGGGACCTTTTGGCTTTGAAAAGACATGGGGGATGGAAGTCATCCACTATAGCTGAAGGCTATGTGGATGATTCGTTAAAAAATAAGGAAGATAATGCGTCTAAAATAACGAATGCAATTAATATATTTAATAAATCTGAAACTTCTGCTAATGTATATCCGGCTCGAAACATTGATAGTATACTAGCCAATTGCAATAAAAAAAGTGGAGAAACTTCTGTATTTAATGATTCTGAAACTATTAATGTGGACCAGTCGGTAAACAACGATAGTATAATTGTCAATTGTAATAAAGAAAATGCAAATCCTTCCCTTACGTTTAATAATTGTACAGTTACCATTAATAATTACTATAAAGAAATGTAAGTGGTTCATTAGCATAAATAAATTAAAATTTTTGGGAGTTTTTATTATTATTTTTTTTTAAGGCGAACAGAGTGTTGTCGTAGAAAAAGTATAGTACACAACTCGTGTGGGAAGGCAAATTACGCATTCGTGGAAATGCTCACTCGCTTCGCTCGTGCGCAACTTTTTCCACTCATGCGTAATTTGCCACTTCCCACACTTGTTGCGTAATATACTATTTCGCAAACGGTATATTTTATGATAAATTATTATAATTAACATTAAGTATCTTTTAATATTCTACAATTTTAAAAAAAATAGAGCTCGGAGCAAGTAACAAGAACCGACCAATTCTCGAGTAAACATAATAAATTAGCGAGATTGGATTTGATTTTCAACATTTGTCTACGAGAAGAGCTTCAATCAAAAATAATCTAGATATTGTTCGTTACTTTCTTCTTCACAAAATGTTTTACCCTGTTCACGCTATATTGTTGTAGTTGGGTTTCTTTAGGTTACAACCCTAATGGGAAAACCATTTTCATTGTCCTTTATAGAGGAGAAAACAATAAAACAACGCTAGATTATTTCCGGCTAAAGCTGTTCTTGTGCACAAATGGTGAACATTAAATCCAATATCGCTAATTTGCCATCCACACAATCACCGACTGAACATCTTTTTTTGGTTCAAGCATAGCTGAGGAAAATTTAAAGCTAAAAACAAGTGACGACCCCTGGGGCCCTATACTCGAGATCGTGAGAAGTGAGAAATCCCTTCTCTCGAGCGATAGATCACATCACACCAGCATCGCATGACCCGTAAAATGTGTATTCTCAAAGTTATGGGATGTGAGCTTTCGTCTACGATACGCTATGCGCTGTTGACATATCTACCAACCAATCGTATTATAGGGTTTCTGCACGTGACTTTGTTTATTTGTCGTTTTGACAATTGCAGTGTTTGCAGGTTATTTGCGATTGTGCGATAGTGATTGTTCACAGATTTAGTTTTAGTCAGGGTAAAGCAATTAAGTAAGTCTTTCTACTATGGTTTGTGTTATATTCGGTTTATTTTGTTGCAAAATACAATTAAGAATATTATTTTGATAAGTTATGGTATTTTGTAAATGTAAATACCCCATAGTGGGGTTACTTTGCACCTGCACGTCGGTTTTTATTATAAATATCGCCAAATGTGCACATTTTACACACAGTTCAACTTCTTATTTAGTAAATCAATCACAAGTCGTACAAGCTCTTTAGTCAAACGAAAAAATCTTACAAATTTATAGTCGGACAATAAAAATGGATTTTGCCTGGGTAAAAAGGCTCTATTAGGTCGATCTACTTGCTCTTCAGCGTCAGCAACATCATCAATTACATGAAGCAACGCAACGTCTTCAAAATTCATCTTATAATAATTATAATAGTAATACTAGTGTCAAAAAATATAAATAACCAGAAATATTTTTAGGTTATATTTTTCACACGATCGACGCGTTCTCCTACTAAGGATCAAGCGATGTTCCCTTCTCTTGATATTGTGGGATGGGATCAGTCACATTTTTGGAGAATACGCAATTTTATATTTTGACATGATATCGGCAAGCTCCGCCCACTTTCTCACGATATGACCACATCGCACGATTCGAGTATAACCACCCAGGGCACCTTTACTCGAGATCGTGAGAAGTGAGAAATCCCTTCTCTCGAGCGATAGATCACATCACACCAGCATCGCATGACCCGTAAAATGTGTATTCTCAAAGTTATGGGATGTGAGCTTTCGTCTACGATACGCTATGCGCTGTTGACATATCTACCAACCAATCGTATTATAGGGTTTCTGCACGTGACTTTGTTTATTTCTCGTTTTGACAATTGCAGTGTTTGCAGGTTATTTGCGATTGTGCGATAGTGATTGTTTTAGTCAGGGTAAAGCAATTAAGTAAGTCTTTCTACTATGGTTTTTGTTATATTCGGTTTATTTTGTTGCAAAATACAATATAATATATTATATTGATACGTTATGGTATTTTGTAAATGTAAATACCATATAGTGGGGTTACTTTGCACCTGCACGTCGGTTTTTATCATAAATATCGCCAAATGTGCACATTTTACTCACAGTTCAACTTCTTATTTAGTAAATCAATCACAAGTCGTACAAGCTCTTTAGTCAAACGAAAAAATCTTACAAATTTATCGTCGGACAATAAAAATGGATTTTGCCTGGGTAAAAAGGCTCTATTAGGTCGATCTACTTGCTCTTCAGCGTCAGCAACATCATCAATTTCATGAAGCAACGCAATGTCTTCAAAATTCATCTTATAATAATTATAATTATTACTAGTGTCAAAAAATATAAATAACCAGAAATATTTTTAGGTTATATTTTTCACACGATCGACGCGTCCTCCTACTAAGGATCAAGCGATGTTCCCTTCTCTTGATATTGTGAGATGGGATCAGTCACATTTTTGGAGAATACGCAATTTTATATTTTGACATGATATCGGCAAGCTCCGCCCACTTTCTCACGATATGACCACATCGCACGATTCGAGTATAACCACCCAGAAGGGACGGTCCCATCATCATTGGTCATCATCTCGTGCTGGTGTACGAATCAAGCCGCTTTAAATTTTTTTTTAGTTTGCAAAGTCGCGGAAATATGTTCGTTAGTCGCACCATGCTCTTTTTAATATTTAAGAAAATAATAGGGCTACAAAATGTGTATCGTAATAGTTTACCGTAAAATGCACAGTTTTCGAAATGCTTGCAAAAAAAGTAAAAAAAAAAAACAAATAAACATTCTTAATTTAACAAACTCATTTTTTTTTACTTATTTGTGTAAACAAATATTACTTTAGACAAAAATTATAGAAAATTTTATAAAAAATAATTTGAGTTTTTAATTTTTATTGTGCAAATATTCACTAAACTCTCTCAAACAGTTTTTTTTTTAAATTTAAACTTAAAGCCAACTTCAACCCGTGGGCGAATATAGTTATGACTATATTAGTCATGACTATATAGTCATATAGGTATATACCCAGGCAACACAGTGACGTGAATATCACGTTTAATTTACGTCTACGGTGACGTCGAAGTCACCAACTTAGACACGTCTTATCGTCGTAAAATTGACGACAATATGTCACAGCGATTTCACGTGTAAAATCACGTAATATTACGTAATTATTTACGTAATTTGACGTAAATAATCACGTAATATTTCTTGAATAATATATGATTAGGTCATACACTGATAAAAATAATTACCGATACTGATATCAGATACTTCAATGCGAAATGTGATTTTGTCAAAATTAAAAAAATAAAAAATTTTTAATTGTACTTTTAAATTTTAAGAAATAAATAGGTAAACCCTACTATATATAGTATTTATATACTACTATAGTAGATATATATTTAGTAAATAATTAATAATCAAAATAAATGTATGTAAAAAAGTAAAATATCAAAAAACAATTTGTTAGTTAATCTTTGCAGAAACACATACATGTCTGGCATATGTCTGGCATTAAAATATCGGATATAAGAATAAATAATTATTTTTACTAGTGCATAAAGGGCTTTTGGTTTAATATTTAATAAAACATGTTTTAAGTTGCTCAAAACATTTATTATAAAATCAAACACATTAAATTTTAAGGCCCGGTTTTATCATCAATAGTTAAAATTAAATTACTACTTAATTAGTAGTTAATTTGTTTTTGTGTTTTACAATTGGTAGTTATTTATCCAAGTACAGATTATGTTTGAGTTTCCGTAACTACAACTTCTTGTATTAGTAAAGTGATGGTTAACCTAAAAATATAGTTAATATTGTGCTAATTTTAAATATGGATTTATTAAATTGGTATTTTAATATTTATGACGATCATGACGAATAGGGTGAGCCAAAAAAACTAACCTATCGGATTTATGGGTTAAAATGAACCTACATACCGAGCAAAAAATTTCCCTGCAAGGCAAAATTTTTTGCTCAATTTTAAAAGGTGTCGGTGAGCATTCTAAGTTTTCCATTGAAATAACACGTAAAAAAATCTTTTTTCATTAAAAAGACTATAACTTTTGAACCGTTTGAGATAAAAATTTTTACCTCGCGGATTCTTGTAGAGCATAAAATTTCCCAAGGATCTATACCAGGATTATTTTTTTTAATTCAAAAATTCGTATGTTTAAAAGCTTTGAAAAGTGTAAAAAATCACTAAAACTGCAGGGAAATTTTTTGCTCGGTATGTAGGTTCATTTTAACCCATAAATCCGATAGGTTAGTTTTTTTGGCTCACCCTAATGACGAAGTTTTATTGAGACGTCCAAAAATTATTAGACCTCGGACATAATGTGTATAATGAATGCTAACGTAAAATATAATATATATATATATATATATATATATTTAATCCATATTGCAAATTATACTAGAAAAAATGGCATTTAGTATACTTATTGCAAATATACAGTACCGTAAAACGGTATTACTTGAGGGGGAATAGAATCAAATTTACACGATTTGTTTAAAAATCATATTTTGTTTAAATTACATTTGGGAAGCTTCGGTTTAAGTATATAAATTTATACACTGAAACCAAAGCTTCCCAAATTTAATTTAAACAATTTATGATTTTTTAAACAAATCCTGCAAATTTGAGTATATTTCCGACGCCAGTAATAACAAAACAAAGCAGTCTACTTTTCTTAATTCACTTTACAGTGCAAAATAAGGTTATATTTGGCGATTTCCGGTAATATTTAATACCAACATGACAAAAATATGTCAAAAGTTGTGATTCTGTAACTAATACTTCAAAATGCATGAAAAAACAGATTACAATTTAACTAACAATTTACTTCTAGTTAAATATAACTGTAACTTACGAAAGTGCTAATTAAATGCAATATTGAAAAACCGGGCCTAAGACAGATATCTGTCATATGACAGGTCAAAATTTTAGGAGCTTATGTAGGTACTTCATTTAGGTGTTATGACTTCGTTACGGAATATACTGAGTAATTAAAACATTAATAAACAAACAAAAATTGACCTACCTGACACAGCCAAAGTATTATCAGTATAAATGGTTTGTTCTATGTATAAATTCCACAGATTATAAAAGTTGGACGCTTGAATCAACCATATTGTTTT